GCCTGTGAGGTGCTGGGCTGACCAGGTGGCGAGCTACCTGTGAGGCGTTGGGTTGACCAGGTGCAGGGCTGCCTGTGAGGCGAGCTGAATTGATGAGCTTCGTTGCTCTTTAGAGACTTGCAAGGAACCAAATGTCAGAGGACTCGAGGTGGCTAACCCGGCGAGGTTGCTCCGATGCTTAAGTTAGTACTCTCATAGTAGACTGCGAGCTAAAAATCACAAAGTCTGAGAGTTAGAACTTGCTTACTTGCTTGCTTGCTCACTTGCCCCTTGTCATTGGGGTTGGTGCCTTTATATAGGCCTTGCTCATGTACCACCCTCGAAATCTCCTAGAGGTCATGTCTAACTGGTCCGAGATTCTTGGAGGTAACCGCCATGCACGTTGACCACCCTCCAGATCGTTTAGCACATGGGCCAACTTCCAAGGATCGTGGGAGTGTTTGGATATGCATGCCGAATTCGTCAGCGAGCACATTTTGCAAGTCGCCAGGTCAGCGCATGTGCCAGACTGCCAGGTCGGTGCCTGTGCCAAGCCGCCAGGTCGCGCCTGTGCCAAGCTGCCAGGTGGGACACCATCAACTTGGCTAAGGCAAGTTGTTGCCAAAATGGTTCCGAGTGTCACCTAGTTGTTTCGAGGTGCCATGTGTTACAACATCATTGGAGGGCCAAATCTGCCCTCATTAGGTTCCTTTCCATCGAACAACTCCTTCAAAAGCTATTGGACCTTGGGAATACGAGTACTGCCTCCAACGAGCACAATCTCGTGAATGTTCGTCTTTTTCAGACCTGCATCCTCCAGAGCTTTCTTCACGGGACCCATTGTCTTCTTGAACAAATCCATGTTCAGCTCTTTGAATCTCGCCCTCGTCAATGGCTCCGAGAAATCGACGCCATCGAAGAGGGATTCGATCTCGACGCTGACTGGGTGTTGGCTGCTCAGTGCTCGCTTGGGGCATTCGCACTCTCTACGGAGCTTTCCTAGAGCTTTGTTGTCCTTGCTGATGTGAAGTAATCCATCACTCTGTGGTCGGAGTCTTCTCCTCCCAAGTGGGTGTCTTCATTGGTAGCGAGCACCTTGAACACACCATTGTCGATTGTCAAGATGCTAACTTTGAAGGAGAATACCTAGTCAAGGTGAACTCACCGGAGCAGTCACCGGTGCCGGAGGAGAGCTCGAGTGAGGAGAGAAGAACGGGGTTAGGGGAGGCCAGTTCAAACACGCAGGAATGTAAAAACGAGTAAATGAGGGTTTTGACTCGGTTTTGGGCTAACACGCAGGAATGCCGACAGCGTACGGAAGGATAGATGGCGGGCGCTCGGCGTGTGGGGCGTTTGTGGGGCAAGAGTGGGTGTGGCGGAGATGCGAACTCCTTTAGAGTGGAAACGAACTCAGCTTCTGTCAGGAGTCAGGATCTCCTGCCCACGAAAACTTTGCCCAAGCCTACCCACAATACGTTACCCTCGTGAATTGGGAACATCTCCCCCTGCATAATACTATGCCAAGGATGAGATGTTCTTCATGTATGACTGCGATAAATGTGGGTAGAGTTTTTGTGGGCAGGAGATCCGAACTCCTTCTATCAGTGCAAATCCGTTTGAACATCATTTATAGCCTTGCATTAGAAATATCTTCCCCATTAAATAAAATATACAAGTACGGAGATATTCATAGGCTGTTCGAACGAGCATTGCACTGACTGAAGCTGATTTCAGTGAAAACTTCTATTCCCATGGTATAAGTATCAAAACCGATTTGTCTTGTCACGCAAGTAAACCTCTATAGTTCTACGGTATTCATTACACGTGCACAAAACTCTCACCATATTGAGATCCAATCTGCTCCTCATACTGTAAGGCACTTCACACACACATTCTATCATGTATTGGGAATATCTCCCGTACTTATTAACTATTAGTCACAAGAGATGTTTCCAATACACGGTGAATGTGCCTGTGAAGCGTCCATTTCCGAGGAGCAGATCCCGTCACCACCGTGTTAAGGTAGTAGAAATGGAGAACTAACCATTTATGAATAAATTATTTTTGTCCATTTATCCCTTTTTTTTATTATTTTAACGCAACATACTAATAACTATGGTGGTAACAGGTAGTAGTGGGAATCGAATCTAGGATGTAAACGGATCAAATTGAATTCGATTTATTTTTTACTAGAAAATGAGATATTTATAGAACTGAATATCTCTTGTTACAATACCATAAGCATCAAACAAGCAAATAAAGTTTAGAATCAACAACTTGGAATCCAACACCAATATTGGCCAAGCAATCTATTGCAAAGTTCTTCTCTAAGGACGTGATTGTAGGATATGTTGCTGGTGAAACAAGTGCAAATATCTTGGCATTCTGCAATGAGTCCATGGGGGTCCACACAAGCCTTGAGACTATCAATAATTACTTTTGAGTCACCCTCTATAATGAATTGATGCCGGGGAAATTTGAAAGTAACCTTATGGGCTTCAACTGTCACCCAAGCTTCAGCTTCATTCGTATAGAACTCTACCGTCTCCATTTCTTAAAATAACCCCTACTGTGCATCTCTCATCCATTCTTTTTGATGCATCAAAATTGATTTTCACATTCCCATGATATGGTTCTTCCAACCAATATAATTTCCTTGGTTTATTTGACGTTTATTAGCAGGAGGAGAAGTCAATATTGTAGGACTCCGGATCTCCTATCCACAAGAATTGTGTCCACGCCTACCCACAATACACTACCCCCCGTGAACTGGGAACATCTCCCCTACATAATACTATGTAGAGGATGAAATGTTCTTCATGTATAGTTTCGATTAATGTGGGCAGAGTTCTTGTGAACAGGAGATCCAGACTCATATTGTAGTGTAGTCCCTACACTATAAATAGTTATTTAAAAGATAAATTTCTTAAACTACCTTTATAGTTTAGTTAATTGACTAAGTCTATCCCTATTGTTTGATTACTGTCTAATACTAACGCTACCTCTACTGTTTCTCACAATTACTGTCTAAATATTTGTTTTTTCTCACAATGGTTGAAATGTTTGTTTTTTCCATAAATCAAATTTACGCACGAAAAGTTAAAACTACTTCTCTAACAGTGGGATCCCCGCCCAGAGAAAAAGAGTCGAAAGACCAGTTATGGTCGGTGTTAGAGTTGAAACCCAACTTCATCCCGAGTAGGAGCATGTCAGTGGGGTAATCGAATCTTTGCCACATAGGGGTAGAAAATGAGTGAGTTGGGTAGGGTTGGATGAGGGTCGAGTATTATCCCACCCATACTGGCCCTCTAACCCATTTGCCACCCATATTTGTTGATATTAGTGGGTCACCCACCCTCCCAGACCCACCCATATGGCCCACCCTGACCCAAACTCTAAGGTATATATCAATAAAGGAAACATAAAAAAATGATAAAAAGTTCAAAAAATATTTTTTAAATTAAAATAAAAATGCTCAAAAACACTGAAAATGAAAAATATATTTCATGTAAAACATAAAAAACTATAAGAAAAATAATAATAATTAAATGAAAGTATCATTTCACGTAAAAACAGAAAATTGTATAAAACATACAAAATTACAGGAAAAATGTCAAAAACTTGAAAATGCAGAAATTTAGAAAAATATAAAAATTGGAAAATAGAAATTGCATAAAAAATGTAATAATTATAGAAAACAAACACAAAAATTGCAAATAAATAACAAAAAATACAAGAAATATATAAATTAAAAAAAAAAGACAACAGAAATTATGAAACATTACAAATTATAGAAAACACTAAAATGCAATGAAAATATAGAAAATGGAAAAAATAAAAATTGCAGGAAAAACAACAAAAATTATAATCAAGCAAAAAAATTTCAAATAAATGAAAAAAGTACAAGAAAACCAAACAAACAATGTAAGAAAATTACAGAAATTGATAAAAATTTTTTTATGTTTTAATATAAGAAAATCGATGAACACAAATCTGGTTTTGAACCCAGATCCGTCATTGCCCTATCTTCACGATGAAAGCTTCGTGCATCAAGTCCTCTAGGAAATGAGCTATATGCAAGATAATCCCTAAATTCAAGAAACCTTGGAGTTGAAAGTTTACGAAGCTTTGGACCTAGGGACCTCGGACCATTGAAGGTATGTGAGGGCTTGCTGCCGATAAAACTTCTCATGTTGTGCTCTTTGGTAAAGAAAGAAGCTTTGTGCATCGCGCTCACTGGTGAAGATGTTCTATACAAGCTAATCCCTAAATCCAAGAAACCTTGGACTCGAAAGTCTACGAAACTCTAGACCTAGGGACCTCGGACCGTTGAAGGTCTGCGAGGGCTTACTGCTGATGAAGCTCTGCATATTGTGACTCTCTGGTGAAGAAACTCTATGCAGACTAATCCCTAAACCCAAGAGACCTCGGACCCGAAAGTCTACGAAGCTCTGGGCCTAGAGACTCCGGACCATTAATTGAAATGAAGCCATACAAATGTACCGAGTAGTGAAGCTCTAACTCAACACGTACTATAAAAGCAAATGGATTCTATGATTCCTCAAATGAAATCATGCACCAAGGAAACAAGCCAATTCACGGGCCTTACATATAGAAAGGGAAATATATACATAAGGATAGAAGACAAAATCAACTTTTCCTTAACTAAAGGGGGCTAATGCATCCAATCCATTAGAGAGAGGATGAAGAAAATTCAATACGGTGATCATGCCACAAGCTGAAATTAACACCATTTAGATGGCAACGTTGGTGCAGTCGTTCATAGTCTTGTTTCAGATCATGAACTTAAGAGGTCCATAAGATCAACATGATCACAACTGATTACAATAATTTCATGACGAAGGAAGGTGGCAATTTCAGTACCCAATGGCATTCAATCTCATGAAATTTGAAGCAATCCAATCATGGGCTTGGCAGTTTTCTACCAAAAAGTTCAATGTCATGGAGCAAAATAAATTAAGGGGAAATTAAGAAATCAAGCTACATAGGAAAGTCTCCATTTCTTTCACTCATGGAAAGGGGAGATATCGTTACGACGGCAAGTTATACACAAGTTTGTATCTTTTAAGTGAAGCATTGTAGTCGTGTTTTGTCAAAGAGGGAGAATTAAAGAACAAAGCTTTATGAGAAAGATTACGGAGCTTTAAGAAATTCACCAAGGATCAACTAATCATGGAATCCAAAGAATTCTGGTCAGGCCTCGTATGAGAACAACATGAGTTAAAGTCCGTTGACAGTGACACTGATCAAAATTCTTCTCAGGTGTAAGAACGCCACCATAGCCATCTAGGTAGGAGCATTTAGGTGGAAAACAACACACAGAATGCCACCATGGGCTTCTTGGTGGTTATTTGGCCACTGTCACTGATACCCATTGACCATTAATCAAAATCAGCAAATCAAAAAATGGAGAAAACAATGAAAAGGTGCATGTATCAATACAGGTGTAAGAAGAAGGAATGTCTCACTACCTGAATTGAGATTCCACAAATTTAACACCTCTTCACAGAGCAAGAATTGATCACTCACTACAAGAAAAACCGCCTGAGGTGGCGGTTGTGCATTTGAGCCGGATTTTGAGCCGGCCTAAATCCCATTCAAATCCGGGAAAAAAGAATGAAACACTCTGAAAAAACTTTCAGACTTCCCGCGTTCGTAATCTCTCTCTCTCGGTCTTGATCAAAACTTTCTCACCACCGGATGGCAACCAGAGAACGGCGATGGAATTAACAGGTGAGACTCTCTCTCTCTCAGTCTTGATCAAGACTTTCTCACCACCGGACAATAGCCAGAGAATGATGCTAACATTAACAGGTGAGACTCTCTCTGTAGTAAATGTTTTCTCTTGCATGTGCAAGAAGATTGGGATTGATTTTGTTCGAATTTACTCTTTCTTCTTCCACTTTGTTGTTTGACCTTTTAGATTCGTAATAAGATAATTCGGTGGTTAGGGTTTGGTGCACGTTTAGATCTCCTGAATCAGTTTTCTGGGAATGTGGTGGTTCGATGAATGCTTCAGATTTTACGAATTGTTTTTTGAGATGCTAGAGGAGAGTTTTCCTCCAACCAGCATCGAGGGATTGATGTTGGAGAGGGAGTGCTCCAGGAGTATTGAAATTTGAACAGGACACCGTGTAGAGAATTCATTAGTGTGTTGGCTTGTGATGAAGGTGATGGTGGTAGCTGCAGTGAGGAATCTGAGAGAAGAGAGAGGGGGAGACAATGGTGTGATAGGCTTATAAGGAGGCCTTCTCACCAGTTGGGTTCAGTGACGATGTGGTGGATGATGTGAGGGCACTCCTGAAGAGGTACAGAGTCGGATGGTCACTTGTGCTTCCCCAAGGAGATGATGATTGAGGCCTTTACTTGACATGGGAGGAGGAACCTGTTGCATGGGCTTCAGCTTGGAAACCCTAGGCTTATAGAAGAACCCTTCTTCTAAGACTAAAGCAGCTAGCATACTATCGACCGAGAGCTTAGCTAGAGTTAGGGTTGTGGGAGTGAAGTGAAGGTGGCATATATTTTGGATCGGATCAGTTGGGAAAMTTGAAGCTTGCATGAAYATAGCTGTATGCATAATTCATCTTATTTTTATTCAAATATTCCTACGCTTGGAATTGTGTTGGTTCTTCTTCTTGTTGTTTTTTTTTTTCTTATCTTCTTCTTTGAAGGTGGTTGCACTTTGTTTCTTTCTTCAAATATACTGTTACATCCAACTGGATTTGTTGCATAGTTTATGGATCATTTCTTCCCCTCTTCCCATAGTTTCTGTTTTCAAGTCTATATATTCTACAAAGAAATAAAAGCTCTGATATTATTAACCCATATTGAATTCACCATGAAATTAAAGATCAAATTCATATATAACCAAGTGATAAAAAATTATATATTGGGCTCTTTGGGTGATATATATCTTAGCAGGCTACAATCCATCTCCTTCACATATATTCAGTTGGATGACCCTAAAATGCTAACCAGTCCAGAGAAGGATGGAATGCTTGGTTTATTAGATAGCAAAAGAAACATARTAGTCACAACTCTTTTTCTAACTATAATTGTCAAGCCAACTAGTGAAATCAAAACATTAGCATGCTCATGGCTTATCCTGTGACAACTCAAACATTGAACTATAACTCATATACATATAGGCATATAGCTTTCCAAGAATCAAATACCAGATAGCACAGAAGATTGGATCTAGATGGCTATAACTAGACAAATTAAAAGGTTTCAGCTTTGTGATTAAATTTGAAGAGATAGAAGTAAAAAAAAAAAAAAAAAAAGTGGGCCCAGGAGTGAGCTTGGTGGAAAACACAAAACTACCTACTTGTGATAGAACAAGAATTAGAAGAAATTGATGTCTTTCTATTGAGAAAGTAGTACATATATATACAACCTTGTAGATACTAAAAAGGAAGAAAATCATACAGCCTTGCAGATACAAAAAATGAAGAAAATCATACAGCCTTGCAGATACAAAAAAGGAAGAAAATCATACARCCTTGTAGATACTAAATAGGAAGAAAATCAAAGAAAGAATAATTCCTATAATCATGCTATTCCTAATTGGGCTAATACTACATATTTACAGCCTATAATTTCGTAACACTACTAAACCCCACTGTTGCGTTTTTTGTCTAGTAATATGAACTGCATATTTGCCTTTAAATGCCACACATGCATTTTTTATACAGCCCACACCATATAGTGGAAACAACTTCTGCATTTTTGATAAGATTGATACTTTCAGCCCAGCAATGTTTGATACGTCTCTGTCCTTCCCCTACAAAGTCAGCTTAGCCCCAACTAGACACGTTCATAATAAGTAAATTCTGCTGTGGAACCGCCAAACCCCTTTCTCTCAAACCACCCCTTCTCCCACTAGCTAGCTTCTTTCACCTGTAACTCTCTGATCTTAGTTACAGGATTTGTAGTATAGTTGCTAAGGGTCATTCTTTTGTACTGAGTACTCCAGAGTCTTTCAATGCAAATATACAGTGCATTATTCTCCTCTRGTGGACTGTTTCATTTATATCTCACCCAAGTGGTGAATTGCAGTTGATATAATTGATGCCCATCTCATATTCCTAAAGGGACCCCTATTACTTGCTTCTTAGATCTATGTCCATTGATAAAGCAAATACAATTGATCAGTGCATACAGACCACATGCATAGAAAGAATCCCTTCATTGAATGGTTTAGATTTATCAACATCTCTTGAGGGTAGGGAATCCAGATGGAGCTCCAACACATTGCCCCCCGCCCCCCCCCCAAAAAAAAAAAAAAAAACAGAAAAAAATACTAGGAACTAGTCAGTGGAGGAAATACATCACAATCAAAATACTAGGAATATACAGGCATCATACAATAATTTTACTGATAAATTTAAATAGTGAGATGGGAAACATGAAAGTTTGAATGCTTAACAAGCTAAATGGCTGGAGTGGCAGTCTAAATAATGGCATTATGAAACATTCCACTGCAACAGAACATAATACAGAGGCTACTTAGCTTTAAAACAAAGGGATGGTCATAGGACTAAGCCCCAGTTGTTCATGTGGGGAGGCTTCATCAGGGTTCCTTTATAATCTGGAAAGTAGAATTTAGGTGTCCTGTGCAGTAACACACTCCTTGTCCTTGGGTGGATGGTTTCTGAGTTTCGTGTGATGTGAATCCCAGTGATCAACTCATAGTGTAGGCTTAAGCAATTTGTCATCACAGCTAAATAGATTTTCAATGCATCAGAAAATAGGGTCATCATCTCCGTAAGTTAATAGAGAGCAGCATAGTTTATGACAATGGAAGCAACTAGTTTTTTTTTCTTTTTTTTTTTATTGTTAATTAGTTTGTCCATCATACCTACTGTCTTGCCTTTTTCTTTTATATCCCTATTACTTTTTCTCTTTTATCTTCTCTCTAGGTACAGAACAAATAAAGACTCACTYAAATCCAAAAAACACTGATACAAAATTAAAATGCTTCCAACCCTGATGGAGTGCTTTTTGTTGATCCAGATCCAGTTGTGGGAGGCAGGCTTCTCTACAAACCCAAGAAATCAAAAACTTCAATCCACATTGTAACATAGAGTATCTGTCATGTACCAATAACCCAACTCTTTAACCTGTTCTACCATCTCTTGGATGACCTGGCCAGTAAAGCATCTTACCCATCCAAATTAACATTAAAATATCAATAGCCAAGAAAGCACCCAAAAAGGACTATCCTGAAACAAAGTACACCAAGAATTCTAAACTAATTGGTCTCATTGATAACACTCTTACTGAGGGMTTAAGAGATAACTTTCAGCCCTGCTACCAACAGGGTATATGTGGCCTAGAAAGAAATTCATAGAGATCAAGTGCAACAACCAAGTCCTCATGCCTGACACAGTGAAAACTAAGTTGAACATTACATAATTCTACAATCAAGAATCAGATGGATTCCTCATTCTAATCAAGCAAACACAACAATTCAAAATTGAGCCACTGATGCTTAGATGTCTAAACCACAGTGGGCTGATCAAAACAAAAATGTCTAAACCACAGTGGAACTGCTTAACTGCCACCAAAACTCAACCGTTTGAACAAGGGGTAAATTGACAGATATTGTTTAGGGGTAGGGTTTTAAAGAAAACAAGAAGTTTGGGTTAAGTGGCCCTTATGCCATCCTACAGAAAAGGGTAGTGACTTTGCTCTGTTGTATATATCTAATTAATATTTAATAAATGTTCTTTTACAAGAAAAATCTGGTTGACTGGGTTATTTGAAGGTCCTTTGATYTGTTGAAATTCCTGAGTTGCAAATCATGTATCTCATGTAGACCTAGCCTGCTTCAAAAAGTATTATGAACCTAAATGAAGGGTCCTAGCATTTCAAAGTTTAGTCTATATACCAATTTAAAAATCTTTTGTCTCTAATCCCCGGCTAAAAAGAAGAGATAAAAATGAAGTGGAAAAACAGAAAAACTTGGGTGGTGTGACCTGTTGGGGAAATTAGCCTGGGTGGAGCAAGTAGTTCAGTAAAGTATGTAAGTTCAAGTAAGATATTATTTTTCCTAATGGAAATGACACTAATCTGAATTTGTAAACTGGTGTCTTTCATTGCAGGTTTCTGAACTGAAGGGGGAAGATGTAGTTTGCATGATAAAGAACTCTGGTACATTGGCTGGGTCATTGTTCACATTGCATGTTTCTCAAATCCATATTGACCTGCCTACCCTGACTGATAAAGATAAAGAAGTAAGTTTTAGTTATTTTCCAATAACCTTTCCTACTATAGAACTATTAATATGCCCCATTTAATGCTAAACAATAGTATGGCTATTAGAAGTTGCGTTTCTTGAGTTGGGTGGACATGATGAAACATTTGATACATTTAGAATGTAAAAATAAAGACTTATTACTTATGAACTTTCATCTAGTGATTATGGACGTAAAAAGAAAGATTTATTACTTAGAAACTTTCATCTAGTGATTATGGATCTCTTAGTCTTAGATTGATCTTCAGTGAATTTCAGATCGAGTAGGTGCTTTTAAAATTTGAATCTTCTCACACTAAATGTTATGGTGTTTTGCTGCTTGCCTATGGGTTTTTGTCCATTATGTTTCATGATATTTCATTGATTATTTCAGGTAATAAGTACATGGGGTGTCAGAAACTATTGCTTTTTTGTCTT